AGATAGAGATGTAAATTGGAGCCCGGAAGCCGAGGAACAACTGCTTAAACGGCTAGGTGAGTTCAATTTATTGAACTCTGTAGGTACCACCCCTCACCGAGATAAATACACACAATGGGCGGCGGAGCTAAGTGAGCATTTTACCGTCTCCCTAACTTGGGACAAAGTCAAACAAAAAGCCAGTAGACTGAAGAAAACGTTTGATGCTGAGTTTCTACTTCGTACTGCCACTGGACTTGGATGGGATCCGATTCAAAAGAAACCCACTTGCACTGACGAGTATTGGCAATAATTTATCAGTGCTAATAGTATATGTCATTTACAAGATGGCATCCATTTGTTAGACATTCATGTCATTTTTCATTTTGTAATATAATGGAAGCTTTATTTTGTATTAATATTTGTTGCTCCATTTACAGATCCATCCCGAGGTTGAAAGGGCGAGGAGGAAGCCCTTGTTGGATTACGATTTATATTATTGCGCGTTCACCAATACTCGGGCAAATGAGGCCTTTGAGTATGGTCAGGATGATGCTCCACCACAACATAGGTCTGGCAGCCCCATTGAGTGAGGAACAACCAGTTTCAATGACGGTGACGATGTTCCTCCTACAGATAGGAGAAATGGCATGCACAGAGAAAGCCGCGAACAACATACACACTCACCATCGCGAGTGGTACGTAGACGGTTAAGTCGTAGCTCTCGTAGAGCGTCACCTAGCTATATGGAGCGTGCCGTGGATCGCCTCGTTAATTCGATAGAAACAAGCAGTCGGTCTCAAGGTATAAATGCATCTGCGAACATGTCGGTTCAAATTGAAAACGTTCAGGATCAATGCATGGATTTATTGGCAACGTTGGACATCTCCCAAGAACAGTATCTCTTCATGTTCAACTTCATGACAATGGAGCCTAGATGGCAGCGTCCATTCCTTCATATGCCAGAACACCATTGGCTTGTGTGGATTCAGCAGACTATGGAGCAGTGTACAACCCAACAAGTTGCTCTTCCACCACCGTAACAAACGCCTTCGGCCTCGTACTTTCAGCCGAACATGCAAACGAACCCTACACCTGGCAACACATTCGGCCAGTCCACTTCCCCATTTCAACCATCCATGCCACCGTTCTCGAGACCTAACTATACAATGCCACATGGAGGGGATGGTTCTTCGCAGCTGTGATGATGTTATTTGATTCGTTTTACTTGTTATGAACAGGCCCATAGAGACTTGTCAAAAATGTTATGTTTATGGTTCTAATTCCTTTATTGTTTTTCGTTATTAGTACTAATTGAGTAATTCTTATTAGGTTGCGGCACATTTGGTTGAGGATTTGTTACTTAATGCGAACTTATTTATGCAATTATTTATGTAAGAGTTGATTTATATGTACTTTTTAACTTTATGCATATGATTTGCATTTTTATAACTTTATGCTTCATTATTCCGAAAATTTGACAGGGATGGATATAGGCAGGAATTCCAACCCGTTGGGTTCTAATGAATCAGACTATGACAGTGATGATAATTTTTTCATGCAAGTTGTCGATGCGGCGACTATGCTATATGTTGGATTTGTATACAGAGAACCTTCTCGCTGAAGGCACACTTCTGGTTGGGGAGGCACTTAGAGTGCAGTATTATCTGGAACGTAGTCCAACAGTGATGTATGACAAAGTCTGTATGAGTAGTGATGCATTCTTGCGCCTAAGTTTTATCCTTGAGGAAAGGGGCTTATTGCAACCAACTATCCACCATTTTACATCCAGATTTCCAAACCGTTGACCCGCACATCATTGCAAGTGGAAACAAATACTCGCCGTGGTTCGATGTATGTTCGGTAATATACATTAATTAGTGCTTTCTAATAATTATTACGTTGTTTAATATAACCAACATAACTCTTGTAAACTATGAAGGATTGTGTTGGAGCACTTGACGGTACTCACGTCCCATGTGTTCCCCCTCGTGAAACTGCTGAACTTTATAGAAATAGGAAGGGGTTCTTTTCACTTAATGTGCTTGCCGTGTGTACTTTTGATATGAAATTTACGTACATGTTATCTGGGTGGGAGGGTTCCGCGCACGATGCGTGAGTACTGGCTGCCGCCTTAGAATCCGCAAACAAAAGATTTCTGGCACCGCCACCAGGTCAGCCTACAATGATTTCTTATATGTACACTGACATTTCAAATACTTCATCCGTACGCTTATTTGTTAATTAATATACGTATAAGTGTAGGAAAATTTTACCTCGTCGACTCGGGATACGCTAACAACGGATGCTTCATGGCACCATATCGGGGGACAACATACCACTTGCAAGAGTATAGGGCTCGCCGTGAAAGAGGATTCCACAGCGAACGTGAGCCTTTTAACTACACCCACTCCTCACTGCGTAATGTCATTGAAAGAACATTTGGTGTGTGGAAGGCTAGACTTCGTATTTTGAGAACCATTAATCGTTACCCCATGACCAAACAAGTTATGATTCCAGTAGTGTGTGCTATAATACATAATTTTATCCATATGTACCGTAATGGGGACAGGCTATTGGACCAATACTCACAAGATGGCATTCCGATTGCAGACATTGATCCACCGAATGTTGATGAGGACATTAACGACAATACTAACCATGAGGGTCAACCATTGGATTCTAATGCAGAAGTGGACATGAATGCTTTAAGGGATGCAAGGGCGCATACAATGTGGGTAGTGTACCGTCACCGTCGTGCACGCTAATAGCCCCCGTTCATTGTTGTCTTTTTGAACTTAATTACGTATTTATTGTTGTCTTTTTAAACTTAATTAAAATGAAAACTGATCTTCTGCTTGTCGTTTTTATTATTTTTTTATTTTTGTAATTACAAGTAATTTATTACAATAAAACATAATAAAGTCGGAAAATAACCAAAATTGTAAGATAATTGAATAAAATTGTTAAAGGAAAAAAAATGATATCCACTATTCACAATTCAAGTTTTATCACAAACAAACACAAACTCAAAAAAATTCTTAACTCAAGTATACACAACCGAACGCAAACTCAAGTTACAACTTCAACTTAAGTTATACTCAAACTTAACTCAAACTCAACTCAAAAACTTAACTCAAGAATACTTGCAAAAGAACAAACCCTAAATGTCTTGTTCATTTCGCCAATTCGAATTTAGAATTCGAATTTTGCTAAAAAACTCTCAGAAACAGTTACATCTAATTTTTTTACTATTGTAAAAAATTCTCACATAAAATCATATCTCAACTCGAATTAAAAATTCAAATCAACGAACTAAACGTACCCTTTCAATCCAAATAATATAGAGCATTTTTCTTTATCATTGACTCAAAGGTGTAGGTCTGACAATACAATAGTTGTGGTGATGGTCATCATTTTACTAGAATTAACTATTGGTTTAATTATTGGTTTTAGGTTGAAGGGTCGACAATATAATTGATAAGCCATACTAGCATGGCGCTCTATGTTTATCCTTGTCAGAAGAAATATTCGTCAACAGGAATTATGACAAACACTAACCATAGGAATGACCACTCACTCAAGCTTAATGTGTGGAAGTCATTGAAATTCACCTAAAATCCTAAGAAATATCCGATCAACCATGACATTATAGGACCCAAATTGAAATGATTTTTCTCATGAGGGACCCAAAAATCCACATAAAAGTGATTTAACCCTTGATTCAAGCGCTACCTTTCTGTGTAATTCGAGGGGTCCCAAAGTTTAAGGAGAAACATCATAACTATCCAAGTAAAAGTTTTGTGGCCGCGGATTCACTAGTTTGGCCATTTTACACCCGAAAACCAAAACCCCCCACAATGAAACTTCAAGGGCAATTTTGTTATTTCTTTTGGCCATTTGGGGAAGTCATTGCACATTGCTCTTCAAAACAACTTATACAACAGAAAGCATTGCTAGTCTTCTGCCCACCGAACCCCGTGTTTTGCCCACAAATAGTATGCTCCAACTGGACCTCTACCACCCAACTCATACAGCTCCGGCACTATATTATTCTTGTCCATCTCCTGCAGAACCAGACTTAGAACATTCCATGCAGCTGCAACCTCATCGCTTCTCATGAAGAGATGGTTGTCTCCGTCAATGGTGTCGAGAAGAAGATGCTCATACGAATCGGGTACCTCCACATTATACCTGCAAAGTTAACACAAAGCCAGATAACTATACACGCGAATGGACGACTCAAAATAAAGTATTGGCATTGTTGTGAAAATATAGTTTCTGATGCAGTCTTGTCCAACAAATGAGTGCTTACTTGTCCTTGTAAAGCAAATTGAGTTCTGGGGAATCCAAGTGCAACCCCAATCCTGGGACCTTATTGTTGACTCTGATGAGGATGGCTTCATCCGGAACATCACGTAAAATGAGCTCGTTCGTTGCGAGGTCAATGTTGTGCCCCATACGTTCACGATAAATGTTTCCTGGCACGTGATGAAACTGTATACGTATCTCCACCCTGCGTTGTATTATGACTTGCAGGTTATGAACGGATCATACATTGTCTAAATTGGTTAAGGTCAAAAACACTTTAATGCCATTTATTATCACATTAACTTTATGAAATGCATATGCTCAAAAACCCATCACATACCTTAGTTCATCATTTTCTAAGAGCATAAAATGACTCCTTAAGACTGGTCTTCGTCACTACAACTAACACAGGGTACTTTCTATTCATCATCACTGGTGATTATGATCGTCACAGGACACAAAGGTGGTAGATCCTACCGGTTAGTTGTGGTGATCATCACCCTTAGTCAATAACTATCATTTTTAACCATCATTTTCACTATTTTCTTGATTCATCTTCTCCAAATTTTCCTAGAAACACCATTCTATATTTCTTGATTTCTACAAACATATCAAAAACAGAAAGTTGCAAGCAAAAGCTCAGTTTCCATGTACATTTATTTCTACAAAACTTCCCACCATCAGCAAAAATACAGTGCATACGCATTCATTGTAGATTTCCATTAGAAGAAAATAAGGAATTAAGCGCAGTTGGGGGACCCAAAACTTTTGACAATAGAAATGATTCATTAATAGAGTGGTTTTATAGACATAGATTTGACCTGTGTTGGATGAGCCCTATTCCAGTTTTGACTAAGAATGGCACGCCATCCCACCGTGCATTGTCAATATAAAGTGCAGCAGCAAAATATGTGGGCGTCAGGCTGTTTGTATAGATATCGACCTTATCCTTCGTACTTGCCTTATATTGGCCAAGAATAACATCACTAGGTTCCAATCTCCGAATTGATCTCAGAACCTTGACCTGGGAAAAATACATCTTAGTAAAGTGACTACATGCCTTAAAATTGTGTATGGCAAGTACACACACCTTTTCATTTCGAATATCTTCACCATCAAGAGTTATAGGTGGTTCCATGGCAAGCAATGCTATTGCTTGGAGTATATGACTGTGTACTATGTCACGGATAATTCCGTAACCATCAAAATACCTTCATAAAAGGACAGGAGTATAAATTAGCTTTCCGATCAAATGTTTTTGTTTTTGGTTTTTTTTTTTTTTTTAATCTTATCCAAAACAACAACATAGCAGCCAATTACCTTGCTGCATGTGCACTCAAGTCCTCCGATAAGATTACCTGCAATATGATCCTGTTATACAACATACTGCAACTATCTTGTGTTAAGGCATGTATGCATTGCATTGAAATAAAGTTTAAAAGAAATACCTGTACATTACGTATATATTTATAACTCCATAGTGGCTCAAATACTAGATTGGAAAATCTTAGAACCGTGAGATTTTCAATAAGGTTCCTTCCCAGGAGATGATCAATCCTGAAATAAGTTTCATAGTATGTGTTATGATATGGATCATTTTATTTTTTGTTTCCCAAAAAACTGTTAATGACGTATGATTCAAATTTTCTTTTTGTGTGTAATGTATTGACAGAAGTGTAATATAGAGAGCAGAGGCACCTGTATATTTGCTTCTCCTTAAACTTGGATAGAAGGGACTGTGTCAACCGATGAGATGATAATGAATTAAAGCCGAATGGTTTCTCAATTATTATACGGTTCCAGCCCTTCGTGGTTTGGGCATTATCAGCAAGACAAGACGCAACATCTATAAGTGCTTCTTGTGGCACGGAAAGGTAAAAGATCCTATTGGCTTCAGATTTCCCCTGTAATAAGTAAGCTGTTGCAGGATCAATTATCAACAACTTCTATGCTGGAATATATGATCATACAAAGAGAGAAGCTTCTTGATATGTTGAATTTGTCTCGTTTTACCTCAATTTGCTCCATCAGGGCATTGAGTTTTGACATCCCTTCTCTATTACCGCAACCACCATTAATGTAATATGTTCTACTCAGGAAAGCATCCATTTTGTCCCCACATTTTTCTCTGGAAATTGTTTGGATTTTGACAGTCAGGTGCCTTTATTATATAACGAATCTATAGATAAATGCAGAGATGTAACTATACACGTTATTAAGCTCAAAAACAATTTCTCTAAATAGAAACAAAAGGTTCTACGTAATGCATCACTCCATTACACTTTTGAATAGCTTTTGGACGTTTAATTAATAACTTAATTACGCACAGCTCTTCTGTAGAAAATCCAAATCAAAACTTTATGTATCAACAACTAATTGATCATATGAAACATTAATAAAGTCAAAGACCATCATTAAAATTCCCTCTCTAAGAATGTGGAAATTACATACAAGAGATAGAAGATTGACTCATTAAAATCTTGAAGAACAAGATTAAAGAGGGAAAAAAATCAGAGGTTATACAAGAATCATACTGATGATCAACACGGCAAGTCAAAGTTGAAGCTATTGTAGATCTCAGATCTTCATCCGTCCAATTCTTTCTTGAATAACCAAATATACCAATGTTCTGCAACCAAGGACAGAAACTCTAAGAGAAGGAACTTCTGCAAATCAAATTAAGTAGATCTTTATTGTGATTTAGAACATGGAACAACGTTATCATCTGATAAATAAATGTAACCCAGCATCACTTTCATATTAGATATCTGCTGGGTGTTATTCTTCCACAGATAATCATAACAACAAAAAATCGTAAAAAAAGAAAAACAACTGCTTCAGCCTAAGCAAAAGAACAAAACGCTGGATGAAGTAATTCTAGACACAAGACATTAAACATTATACCTTGAAATACTAACTGAGACACAAATTAGTCTTACCTCAGGAAGAAATCCACTGTAATACAAAGCAAACAGTGCCGGAAAAATCTTCCTCCTCGCCAACTCACCTGTAGCTCCAATGACAGCTATGCAGAGAGAAGGTCCACCATAGCCATCACTCGAAAACTGGTAGGAATGTGGTTGTGGCAAAGATGTTGGAGATTCCACAGAAGCCGAAACTTCACAGCCACCAGGTTGGATATCAGACAAAGAACATTCTTCAAGTTGTGAAGTTACTGTTATCCTATTCCTAACCTCAAAATCTCAAACATTCAAATTTGGAATTCGGAACACATAAACATAATTTGTAGCAAGGAACTTCATAGTTCGCTAATGTTTTGTTATCCCATTTCGGGTCAAAAATGGAAGAAATAAAGATAATGTAATTAATTGAGCTTCCAAAACAAGCATTAACTTTCGACAAATAGACAAGAAGGAAGTGCTAACCATGACCCAACTTAATTGTGGTTCCATCGGAAACATGTTCTTCGAGTGACGAAATTGTTTTAGGATAAGTTGATAAGTGATCATCATCTTCATTTTTCATACTCTTAAACTCATTTGGCGGTGCATGTTTTCTCTTTAGCTGACTTTTTTTAAGGCTCTTAAGTATCCACAGTTTTAGACCACAAAATCTTTGACAGAAATGGGTAGCTCCTCCATGGAGCACAAGACGACCATTCGATCTGGGATTAAAGTTGTTGGATGGAGCCTATATACGAGAAAGACCAAAATAATACAAAGAAAACATTTAAAACTGTTAGTAAAAATTCCATGAACTAATTCAATAAACTAAATATTAAATAGAGTAAAAGTTCGCCGGCGAAATTTTTTATTTTCTGGATTTCAGAATTGTAGTTGATCCAATATGATAATAAAAAGAAAAACAAACTAAAGATTTTGTGATAATCTCATAATGAAATAATTTTTTCACAAATATTAACTGAATGCATGTTTAGTTATATCTTAAAAAAGATATATTCATCAAAAAAAAAAAAAAAGAAGATATATCGATTCCTAAGAGATTATCAAAGAATCTCATTATTCGATACATTATTCATTAAAAACATGCATGATGCTATTTTAAGTCCAAATTCAACTTAAACAGAAAATATTAGACCCATTACTCAAGTAGATGAAAGATTGTTCTTTCAACTATCACAACTTCAGTAACAGAAAAAACATAATCCGATAAGCGCAAGAAAGTTAGAAACAAGTAAAAAAATAAAAATAAAAAAAATAAAAAAAAAAGGCCTAAACTCTAAACTCGACAAGTAAAAAAATAAAAATAAAAAAAATAAAAAAAGGCCTAAACTCTAAACTCGACCATTAATTTTGTGGTTACAGGACCCATCTTTTCTTTTTAATTAAACAGCATAAATATCTAGTTCTTCCGTTTCCCCGTAGCATGGAGAAAAAAAAAAACCCATTTGAGGAAATTTATGAAAAAAATCAAAACGTATATAGATACAGTGATACACTTAAAAAGAAATGAACGGAAAACTAACCGGGAAGCTACGAACAGAGAATCGGTGAGCATAAGAGAGAGAAGAAACCGTTCCTGAAGGCGAATATGTGATCGACATAATTGGTTTTCTCCAGCTAAGGAGTTTTGTTCGGGTTTAAGGTGGTAAGGTTTTGTCAATGATCAGCACGAGGTTTTGGAGAAGACGACTTTAAATAGTAGTCGTAGTTTTGGGTGCAGAGGATAAAATGTTAGGAGATGTTGATGGTTTAGACTCATAAAATTAAAATTATTTTTAATTTATATGTATTTTTTATAAAAAAAAA